ATTATGTGCCTAATTCCTCTCAAGTGAATGCTTATGGTGCTACATTAATATTACCCCGGATCATTGTGCAATCGACTTCATTCTCAGCCCCTGGGGAGTAGATGGGCTGTGAGGAGGTAGAAGGTTAACAGTCACATTGCCATCCCACCAAAGTGGGCCTCCATCCCACTAACTTCTCCTCCATTATTCAAATCTAAAATAGTCTGCAATGCAGCATTAAACACAATTCACTCACTCACTCACTCACTCAGACCAACTCACAATTCTTTGGCTGTAAATATCAGATTAAGAATTGGTCTTCATCAACCCATGTTTGTTGTAAGAGGTGACTTGGTGTAGATCGTTGCTGATGATTTCAGTCACTGGATTGTCTGATCCAGACTCGATTAATCATTAACAGACCACTGTCGTATAGCTGGAATATTACTGAGTGCAGTATTAAACAACAAACAAACAAACAAACAGTTCTTTGGCCTTCACCTATTCTGTTCCAGGGATCATCTGTCGTTACCATGACAATAACTTTTTGTAAACTGTTTTGTCTGGAAGAGATCTGAAGCAATATACTGTGATCCCTTGCTGCAATGCTACCTTCAGGGTCCAAATAATTGATGAGCATTATAGTCAGTTTAACCGAGGTGGAGCCGTAGGGGGTAGATGACCAACACAACATGTACAGAACATGCCCTGCCTACCTAACAGGATCTCTGCAGCACTATTCAGAGTGAGAAAAAGAGAAAAAAGATTAGAATAGAAGTTGTTTATGATTCATTGTGTAAAAAAAGATTTATTGAGTGTTATGCGCAGTGAAAAAAACAGGTCGTATCCCTTCAGTGAATTCAGGTTAACGTTTAGGTATAACAAACTTGGTGTAAATATGGTATTGATATAAAACATCACTAGACACCATGATTTACCAATTAAATTGTATTTCCTGCTCTCCAAGGCATTTTTGTACATGCAGAGATTAAGATTACCATGTGTATTTTCTTGTAAACTAAGCCGGAAATAGCCAATGATATCACTTCAAAAAATTTTGATGCAATGATTGGAAGAAATTGTATCTGAAATTATTATTTTATTAGAATAATATGTTCCAATATCTATTATTTAGTTGCAGCTATTACTATACATAAGATTATAATAACCATTTGCGTAGCACTTTGGTACAGCTGATTGCTATTGCAGGATATTTTTGGCATGGATCAATTTGACCAATCACCGTAGGGAGATCCCGCGCTACATGTATTTCGATTGCGAAAACGTTATGTTGACATTGAGTAGTCAAATTGTTGCAAATAGGACTTTTAACAAGTCAAAACATGGCATTTATGATATATGTATCCCTGTCAAGTAAAGTTTGTTTCAAGGCGTGAAAAGCGGTAATCTGAATGTGGTTGCTGTAAATAGGCCCTTGATAGTGAGTTGTGCGATTTACCAACCCATTTAGCCGAAATAAATGTAAACAATATTGAATGAAAGATTGAAAAAAATTAATAAAATATATTAAGAAGATAAGTCCAGATATACAATGAACACATTTTTATAACCAGATAGTGTAATAATGGGATTACCATACTTTCAACTCTGAATTTTTCACCAAAATAATATTCTAATAAGAGCCCCCTATTTCTAATTTTGAGAGCGCCCTGGGTGCTCATTACGTCGAATACGGTATATTGTGTACTTCAGTTCAGATTGTAGACTGGTATTTCAGGTGTACCCAGTCCACTATTACCCAACCCTACTTTACCTGGGTACTCGTTGTAGGCCTCGATTTGGGTACAAAATGTCCGATTCTGAATTGTTTTACGAAAGCCTCGGCAAAAACTACTTAGATACACGCATTTATAAAACAATCTGATCATGCATACACTGAAGTTGACAGAAGCTTTATCTTTACTCAAACATATAAACGTACAGTCAGAAAGAAATACAACATTTAGCGAATTGTACTTTAACCATGGAGGTTGATTGTTTTTGTCATTAAACAATGCTAGGGCTGGGACGGGTAACTCGGGTACTCGGGTACTCAGGTCGGGTCGGTCCTGAGTAGGACCCGGGTACCCTCCGGACTACCTGGACCTGTGGTTAGTCACGTGACATATTGTTAAATGACAAAAAAAGAGCTCAGTGGTTACACTACAAGTCGCTTATATTCGCATTTCTTTCTGATGATGCACACATTCCTTTTGACTTGTATATGTTTGGGTAAAGGTAAAGCTTCAGTCAACTTCAGTGTATGCATGATTTGATCGTTTCATAAGAGACCATATATCTGTTATATGGTCTGTGGTTTCATACTTGTATCTGAACAGTTTTTGCCAGGGCTACAGTTTAACTATTCCCAATTAGACATTGCGTTCCCAACTCTTGAGACCTACAGTGGGTACCCGGATAGGGTCGGGTAATAGGGGGTTGGGTACCCTGGTAGTAAATTTTGACTCGTCCCAGCTCTAAACAATACATCATGTGACTAACCATGGGTCCGGGTAGTCCTGTGGGTACCCGGGTTCTACCCAGGACCCACCGGTCCTCAGTACCTGAGTTACCCGTTCCACCCCTAATACATACATATTTGAATCAGTCATTTTCCTCATGGAACAAACAGGAAAGTGTTGTGGATCCTTAAATTGGTTATGCGGACATCATCGCCTGTAGTAAGTCCAGATCATCTGTAGAGACAATTTTCCAGGAAATTATTCCGATCCAACAATTTGATTTCCTTCCTTTGGAACATTGCCCTCTGTCAAGAATGTGACGCTACAATTACTAAGATTGCATGTGCTGTTATGATTTGGGAGTAGCATCAGTTTACAGTGCAAGTCATTGTAGTCTTTGGGGGTGTGATTTCCTGAGGATTAATGTATATTGAAGTTTTACCACTCGATATAAGGAGTGTTCACGTTCAAGACCCCATATGCCGCTTCTGACACATGTAATACATTTGTTGTTATGGGTTCACAAGTTACACGGACTAACCTTCTGGGGATTCAGGATTAGACTTTGTCCCCAGCAATTTGGGCTGGTCGTTACTAGGAGGCGACTAAATGGATCGTGTGATATAGCTCGGTGACTTGGTTGATTGCGTGTCATCGTACCCCAACAGCGTGGATTGTTCTTCATTATATCAATCACTGGTTTGTGAGGTCCAGACTCTGATATTTTCAGGTTGCCATCATTTTGCTGGAATATTGCTGAGTGTGGTATTAAACAACTAACGGATGAAACAAATAGAAAGACTTATGTTCAGTGAAATAAGTTTGAAATACATCTACATTGTGCCCGCCATCTTACTCTCAATACAGTAACTCAATGTCCAAACAGGGTCAGTTGTGATGTGGCAAGCAGGTCATATCAAACAGAGGGATGTCATCATGTCCACAGACCGGCCATCTGACCAATCAGACAGCCAGATTTTGTTACGAGTAGCGTTAATTCCCTGTTCAGGAGAGTTTCAAGCATCACATGTGTTTTCTTGTCTAGTTTTGTTCATGTGACCTAACTTTGTTTGTTGCTTGGTCTAAGAGTTGTCTGATTTGTTAAAAAATGGCAATCAAATCCAAAAACAAAAATAGTTGTTTTTTATGCTTCCTCTTGTCTTTGTCTGCGTCACAGTAAAAGGTATGAAAGATGGTACTTCCTTCTGGCGCTCAGCATTAAGGGGATAAAACAATGACTGTCCAGCTCGGAGTCAGTATTATGTGCCAGAGCGTTGTATCCATGTTAAACTGGGGAATAGTATCTCAGTTGGCCAGAGCTATAAAACCTGCACAAGTCCACACTAGAACAAGCAGCATACACATCGCTATATAAGTGAACTAATCTCGAACGCTAAACCCCATTTGACCTCACCTGAATGTTTCTTGTCCTGTCAATAAGCCGCAGCAGTTGATGTGTTCACTGAGACACTGACAGTTAAGATATTCTATATCCATTTACAGGATTAATCTATGACGCAAGTAATTGAAAAAAAGTTACTGGATGAAGAGATACGAACTTCCATTGATTAAAAAATTGTTTTCCACTGAAATTTGAATTATGATCTTCTACCTGATCAATATGGACCACTACTGCTGACATCTTCTGTACGAGAGGGTGTATTAAAAAGTATAGCCCAAAGTGATTCAGGTCTCAGATGTTTACAATTTTGATGAACCCCACGAGCATGGTATGGTGCTAATAAACCTAGAAACACAATCGGGGCAAACCGGGTATTCGAACCAATAACCATAGGTTTCTGGCGTGCCCAAGGGATTCAACTATGCATATGCAACTATGTTATATTTGGGATAACACTTTCTTAGTAAAGTACAGATTATCTTACCTTTGGGGGTTATCCCAAATTTGACATTTGTTACATTTGACCACTTTCTAGATGGCAGTGTGTGTTCATAGCTTTCGGCCATGGGAGCCGTGCCAATTTACATTTGTCAGAGGGGTACACAAAGTATGTGATCTAGACAAGCAGTTGTCGGACCTTCATTTTTGTGGAAGCCTCGGTGGCTGAGTTGGTTAGATAGCTAACTTTGTGTGCTGGCGATTAGGTGCCTTACTCTGGCAGTGTGGGTTCAAATCCTGGACAGGACTCAACCCCCTAAAAAGTAAGAGAATCTGTACTTTACTAAGAAAGTGTTATCCCAAATATAACATTTGTTACATTTGACCACTTTCTAGATGGCATTGTGTGTTCACACTGTGGTATTACTTAATTATTGTTCAAACTACATTGCCTTAAAACACAATTCACTCTCTTATATTCAAACAACAGTGTAGAAGGGGTGTATGATTGCCTCGTAACTATTATCAATTTTTATTTAGTTTCATTGACTTTTGTATCTGATAAGTTTGTTGTCTCTGAAAACAAATTTTAGAAATTTGTATGGTTTTAATAAGGGCCTACCTTTATGAGTTTTCTAAACTCCAAGGGTGCTTCTCATGGTGAATACAATATGTATATAATTAACAACAAAGTGAACAGGTTTTCTTTTTCTCCCCAGGAAATCGTGCACTCGGATGGAAAGGCCAAGGTCATGACATTCAGGATCCCATCCTTTGGGCAACCATCCGTCTATCATGAGGTGAGAGTCCATTTAGGATTATTCTTAAGATCACTGAGAATGTTTGATTATTCACTGGGGATGATTTTATGATTGGGGATAGAAGGGATGCTGTATCCTAGCGGTAGTCCTTGGTGGTGGGTAGCTCAGGGATTTTTTTCCAAGGACACAATGGCCTAGTTCTGCTTGCTCACTTGGGTACTACTAAAAGAGGAGGACATGAGGGGCCCATTTGTCAGTGCAGCAAGTATCCTATGATTACATTTCTTGGTTTGTCAGCACCTTACCCGTGCTCACTGGTTTCACCAATGTGTAAACATCAATTACCTTGGTTATAGCTGTTCCTTCATCAAATTGAGGTTGTGATGGACCTGGAATACTGTTCAAAGCAGGGTTAAGCATATCTGAGACCATATCCTTGGTCTGCTCTTGACGTTTTGCTACAAAATTTGAAAAACAATATTTGCTCACTCCCTCACTCCTTGACTTGTTTTAGAAAAAATATAAAAAGAACTTTATAAAACTCGCTCGTTTTGTCCAGGGTATTGTACAGGCAGACAGTCATCTGAGACTTGCCAACTAATATGAAAGGGAAAAAAAATCACCATTTGGTAAGAATAATTTTGAGATAGATTATATTGAAAGCCATGTGGTTGGGTCCGATGGAATTCTGTGAGGAATCAGATCCTGTTTGATGAAGCAGCTCTGCCGGGTGCCTTCAGTGACAGAGATTGGCTTCATGCGGGATCAAACGCTAACTTAAAAAAGAAAAGTCTTTGGAGATGTGTTTTTGTGAAGCAGACTCAAGGACTGAGGAATCATTTAGATGCTTGTGAATTGATAGAAAAGCAGTTGAAAATAGACATGGTTTGGGTTGTATAGTGTCATCTTGAAAAACTCAGAGCGTTGAGAAATGTCTTGATTGTGATGTTTTAGATAGATATATGTGTGTAGCCACCAGGTAATGTGTGAATTGTTCTGGCAAATATGTAAAAATATGTTACAGTCTTTGACTCTAGCTACAAGTCTGAAGCCTGAGTCTAGTAAAAATCTGTTTGGTCCAGTAAACTTTGCTAATAATGGTGCCTATTATAACACTAATCTATAGAAAATAATGAGAGCCGTGCTGGCTAGTAGACATTCACTCACTCACTCACTCACTCACTCACTCACTCACTCACTCACTCACTCACTCACTCACTCACTCACTCACTCACTCACTCACTCACTCACTCGTATTTAAATGTAAATGACATGCGCACTGGTTACAACTATAAGTTAGCAATGATGTTGCTCGCAGTGGTGGACAGGTATAAAAATTTGAAACGAAAACAGGCGAACTAACTTTGATCAGCTTGGATCATTATTGACAAATAGTGATACACCGGTATACTGGAATATTGCAATATGTCCGTCAGCAATACATGTATCACAAGTGGATTAATCCTTGCCACCAGTCATGAATGTTTTAGGCCCTACGATCGCAATACAGCTCTAAATATTATGATATATTGCAATATGATTTATGTGCCTATGTGCCAACCATACTGAAAAATAAGTAAAAGTTACTCCAGTTTAACCAGATATCACTGATTGGGCATAAATGGTTGCAGTTAGCACCTCTGATATGTTCAATTTACTTTTTGCTCAAGATCAGCAAAAAGCCATCAGGAAAAATATCACAAATACAACCGATCCAATCTTCTAGACAATACATATAAGATTCTTAGGTTGTCTGGATCAATGAAAGTATAACAGCAAGTTGTGATCCCCTTGTCTTGTACTGTTTGTATGTGTTGCTTTTTCCTATGTCAAATCCCAGTCAAATGTCACAAATCACATTAGAGCCCGATGATTTCATTTGTGGTAGACTCAAGAAATAGCTCTGCTGGCATTACCTGTCAAATCAAAGGTTTCCTCGGCAGTCCCGGAGCTGATGGTGATGGGATATTCCACCCAAGTTCCCTCTCTTTGCTGCCATCAAAGAAAAGACCATTTTTGCTAAGATCGCTTTGGAAGCTGATGACAGAGTGTCAGCCTCAATTACTGCTGATTGTAGAACTTTGATGAGGAATTTTTGCCTTTAATGTTCACACTGCTGTGATTTTTTGCAACTATTGCTATGGTTTGTACAAGATTCTCTTTTTGCGTGATAAACCTGATGTCTTTAGATAAGCTGATGTTGGCCAAAGAATGAGGTACATCTTGATAAGATCTATTGCCAATTCATTATATACATACCATATTTTCTTGAGTATAGTGCGCACCCATGTATAATGCGCACCCCCCTCTAGCGGGTTTAATATTTTGGAAAAAAAGAAATTTGAATATTATGCGCAGAAAAAAATTACACCGTACCCTTTCAGTGAAGTCCGGCAAACGAATGGGTGATGAGAAACTTCGTCAGTACAAATTCGAAATTTGAGATAAAAAATCACCAGACATGTTTATTTACCGATTCAATAGTATTTATTGTTCTGCTAGGCATTGTTTTATATCTAGGGATTAAGATTACCTTGTGTATTTTCTCGTAAACTAAGCCGGAAACGGCAATCAGCTGTACACACGTTTTCTTGGAATCGACTGGTGATTCGGTCAAGACACACCCGATGATATAACTTTATAGGATTTTTACTGCAAGGATCGGCAACAATTGTATCTGAAACTATTTTTTTTTATCAGGAATAATATATTCCATTATTTTCTTAATTATATGCAGCCTTTACTAAACATATTGAAAAAAATAATAACCCTAAGCGAAGCAGCTGATCGCTATTCCCGGGTATTATTTTTTACATGGAACCAGTCTGACCAGTCACCGTCAAGGCTCACGCGCACGTGATCGCGTGATCGCGTGATCGCGAGAATTTCATGTTGACATAGAACCGTCAAACAAAAACAAATATGACTTTAACGAGTCAGAGTATGTCATTTATGATATATGTATCCATTCTCTGTCAACTAAAGTTCGTTTCAAGGCATCAATAGCGGTATTCTGACCGTGGTTGCTGTTAATAACGGTGAGTTGTGCGATCTTCCGATCGCTTCACACACGATTTCGCCGAAATTAATAAAAACAATATTATAAGGAATTTTGAATAAAATTAATGAAATAAGTTACAAACATAAGTCCAGATATACAAAGAACACTTTTTATAGCCAGACAGTGTAATTACATGATTATTTTGCGTACTTCAGTATGGATTTGTTGACATGGTATTTCCGGTGTTTCGTGCTCACGGTAATGTCTTTCCATGTGGGGAAAAAACATCCAAACTCATAATTCGTGTATAATGCGCACCCCCTTCTACACAGCTGTGTTTTTTCGAAAAAAAGTGCTCACTATACTCAAGAAAATACGGTAAATGTGGAGGGATTCTCTTTTTTGAGGAGGTTTACTTGCCTAAGGGCGATGAGGTAGCCTAGTGGTTAAAGTGTTTGCTTGTGACAAGCTGATGGCCTGGGTTTGATTCACACATGGGTACCATGAAGCCTATTTCTGGTAACCTCTGCTGTGATATTGCTAGAATATTGCTGTACCGGCATACAACCTGACACTTGGCAGCTTGCCTGCCCACAGCCATTTATCCGATCACTCACTCACTCACTCACTCACTCACTCACTCACTCACTCACTCACTCACTCACTCACTCACTCACTCACTTGTTGGCCACGTGGGTGGTATGTTCACTCATCATGAGAATATGTAGTACTGGAACCTAGGGACACCTTATTTTCCAATCATTCAGTTATGACACAACCACCAACTTTCATATGCTAATTTCGAACACAGATACAAGATATGGAATCCATGTTTTAGTCATGAAACTGGTAACTGCAAATGAATACTCAACCGATTCACTCAACTGATTGAATTGAAGTATGAAATATGCCTCCATAGGCATTATTAATTTACAAATGCATATCGACAACGTCGTTCCCGACGAACCACTTGACAGTGATGAGATGAAAGCATGTGACCAGACTTCCATTATCTGCTACAACATGGCAGGTCAGGAAGACATGACGTATCTCATACTCAATACTTTTAATAGGAGTAGGTTTGAGTTATTTTAAGATTCCTGTCTTTTATTTAGCACTGACATTTGATCTCCCGTAGTCACTGATGATGTAGGAGTGGCTGGTTTAATGGGAGACTGAATCCTAGCACTGACATAAGAATGGTTGCAAAGTATTAGAAAATTCATCTCATCACATTTAGAATCAACACATCAATTTGATAAAGATTTACAACATGGTAGTTATTGGTATTTGCTGCTAGTGCACATGGGTTCTTGTAGATAAAAGAGAATCAACAAGGGACTGTGATCCACATATGTTGTCTACTTTCAGTCTTGGTCAAGACATTGTAGCCAGAGCTGTGTGAAACTGAGACATTGTAGCCAGAGCTGTGTGAAACTGAGACATTGTAGCCAGAGCTGTGTGAAACTGAGACATTGTAGCCAGAGCTGTGTGAAACTGAGACATTGTAGCCAGAGCTGTGTGAAACTGAGACATTGTAGCCAGAGCTGTGTGAAACTGAGACATTGTAGTCAGAGAGCTGTGTGAAACTGAGACATTGTAGCCAGAGCTGTGTGAAACTGAGACATTGTAGTCAGAGAGCTGTGTGAAACTGAGACTCTGTAAAGTAGAGCAGTGTGTGAAACTGAGACATTGTAGCCAGAGAGCTGTGTGAAACTGAGACTCTGTAAAGTAGAGCAGTGTGTGAAACTGAGACATTGTAGCCAGAGAGCTGTGTGAAACTGAGACATTGTAGTCAGAGAGCTGTGTGAAACTGAGACTCTGTAAAGTAGAGCAGTGTGTGAAACTGAGACATTGTAGCCAGAGAGCTGTGTGAAACTGAGACATTGTAGTCAGAGAGCTGTGTGAAACTGAGACTCTGTAAAGTAGAGCAGTGTGTGAAACTGAGACATTGTAGCCAGAGAGCTGTGTGAAACTGAGACTCTGTAAAGTAGAGCAGTGTGTGAAACTGAGACATTGTAGCCAGAGAGCTGTGTGAAACTGAGACATTGTAGTCAGAGAGCTGTGTGAAACTGAGACTCTGTAAAGTAGAGCAGTGTGTGAAACTGAGACATTGTAGCCAGAGAGCTGTGTGAAACTGAGACTCTGTAAAGTAGAGCAGTGTGTGAAACTGAGACATTGTAGCCAGAGAGCTGTGTGAAACTGAGACTCTGTAAAGTAGAGCAGTGTGTGAAACTGAGACTGTAAAGTAGAGCTGTGTTTGAAACTGAGACTGTAAAGAAGTGCAGTGTGTTAAACTGACTTCACCTTGGTATGATAATGGACTTGTATAACCTCGTGGTATGATTGAAAACATCAGGATATTTTTGTATGGCAATGTATAGTTTTATATCAGGAATAAATGTGCAAAATATTTCTTCAATTTGCCCTTGTTTAATGAAGCACCGACCCCCTTTACACTGCCTTATGCTAAAACAATTCAGCAGGCTAAAGATTAAAGCTGGCTGCGTAAAACCACATAGACTCCCTCAATCACTCATTAGCCTGTTAACATTAACTGTTAGATTGCATTCCTTCTCTCCCACCCCCCCCCACCCCCCCCAAAGGAAAAAAAATAAATTGAAAAAGAAATTGATTATTAGTCAAACTTTTTTGAACAACTTGAATCAAATTTGCCAATACTTGTCCCTCTTCAAAACCTCCGTTCAGTTTTTCATCTCATCCGTCTGAAACTGGGGGAAAAAATGAGTTCTCAAGAGCCCCAGATAGTTAGACCCTGGTGAAGTGCTGAAGTGGTAAGGACGTGACATTAGTGTTAAAGTGAACCAGACCCGAGGGATCCAGGCTGAGGCGGTGCCCACGACCTCATGGCGCTCACTGTGAGAGGCCACTGAAATTGGGATCAGGAGGTCTCAATGGCTGATGATTATTGTTCATACAAACCATTAAGGCAGTCTTCTAGACATCGTGTACTTTTTCGTGTATTTTCTGCTGTGAATGTCAAAAGTATAGGTCACTACAACTTGTTCACTGGTGGACTGGTGGTTGCCTTGGAGAAATGCAATTTCAGTTTCTATTGAATCGAGTTCAGAAACAGTTGTTTTGCATCAACATATATTCCAAGTGGCAGTTTTTCTGATATTTACAGCCTCCTCTGTGGTCTGGTGGAGAGAGCAGAAGATCATTGGTTTAGTCCTTGCTTGTGTCATATCCATGTTAAACTGCGGCATGGTATCTCAGTGGGTTAGCACTATAAAACTGGCGTAAGTCCGGACTAATACAAATCAACCACACATGCATGCACACAAACACACAAACACACACGCACACACACCCAAAGACACACACCAGGTATTTTAACATTGAATTTTAAAAATGCATCCAATGCAATAATGTTAAACTAAGCATTAAATTCTCTTCATATGCATTGGCGCTGTTATAATTATAACTATAACATAAACTGGGAAATTCCAATTTGCTATATCGCTATATAAGTGCACTAACCCTGAACGTGACGCTAAACCCAAATTAACCTCATCTCTGATATCTGCGAAATATGGTGTTTTGTTTGTTTGTTTGTTTGTTTGTTGTTTACCACCGCACACAGCAATATTCCAGCTTTATGAGGGCGTTCTGTGAATAATAAAATCTGGACCAGACAATCCATTGATTGACATCATGAGCATCGATATGCACAATTGGTAAAAGGTGACATACACCAACCAAGTCAGCGAGCCTGACAACCAGATTCCGTTAGTTGTCTCTTAGGACAATCATGGGTGGCTGAAGATCATTTCTAACCCGAAATCATGAAATATGGTGAGAAATGGTAACTAGCACGTGGAATAACTGAGACTGGGTTATAGAAAGAAGCATCAGCGGAGAGTGAAACTACATATGTTGTCTTGAGGTGCCAGGGACCAATTTCGCTACATTCAAGATACACCTGTGATAAAACTGTGTTAAAAGTGCAGGTAACTTTTTAATACAGCTTCAATGTATCCAAGACAGTAACACAGTTACCTGCTATGATATAACTGTTATATTGCCTATATTGAAGCTCATACTATAAAACACAGCTTCAATGTATCCAGGTCAGTAACACAGTTCCCTGCTATGATATAACTGTTATATTGCCTATATTGAAGCTCATACTATAAAATACAGCTTCAATGTATCCAGGCCAGTAACACAGTTCCCTGCTATGATATAACTGTTATATTGCCTATATTGAAGCTCATACTATAAAATACAGCTTCAATGTATCCAGGCCAGTAACACAGTTCCCTGCTATGATATAACTGTTATATTGCCTCTATTGAAGCTCATACTATAAAATACAGCTTCAATGTATCCAGGCCAGTAACACAGTTACCTGCTATGACAAAATGATGCAAAATGATATAAAAAAGACTTTGAAAGGCATTTTAGTGATATCTTGGGTTTGATTCCCCACATGGGTACAATGTGTGATGCCCATTTCTGATGTCCTGTTCCATGATATTGCTGGAATATTGCTGAAAGCAGTGTAAAACCATAACCACTCCCTCACTAGAAGTGATACACATGAGGAAGAGAATTTAAGGATGTCAACATCTTTGTTATGAAGAACACAACGTTCCTTCATTCACCTGATGGGGCAGTCCGGTAGTCTAGTGGTTAAAGCATTCACTTGTCACGCCGAAGACCCAAGTTCGATTCCCTACATGGGTACAATGTGTGAAGCCCATTTCTGGTGTCCCCCGCCGTGATATTGCTGGAATATTGCTAAAAGCGGCGTAAAACCATACTCACTCACTCACTCACTCATTCACCTGATGAGGGAGTAAGTATGTACTCCAAACAGTGTGGTCCTCATAATAAAGAAGTTGACATCCATAAATTCTCTTCCTTACGATATCAACAGACTGGTTTGTTCGCCCACCAACTCACTTCTTGCCTTTTTGCATTAAGTATGCAATGTCATCTTGCAAGTAAGAATCCAGAGAATTTGCTTAGCTGCTCATGTGATGCATCTCAAAAACCTGTTCACATGAGAGATATTTGTTTTGTAATCTGATGTAAGACAGGCAAGTTCATGTAGTGTTAAAAACATGGAGACATGAAACCAATCATAAAATATTTGATGGCTTTCAAATGGACTGTCCAACTCTCTATGTGTGTATTGTGCGTGCAACTTCTGATTGTCCACATCTCTCTGTGTGTATTGTGTGTGCAACTTCTGATTGTCCACATCTCTCTGTGTGTATTATGTGTGCAACTTCTGATTGTCCACATCTCTCTGTGTGTATTATGTGTGCAACTTCTGATTGTCCACATCTCTCTGTGTGTATTATGTGTGCAACTTCTGATTGTCCACATCTCTCTGTGTGTATTGTGTGTGCAACCTCTGATTGTCCACATCTCTCTGTGTGTATTATGTGTGCAACTTCTGATTGTCCACATCTCTCTGTGTGTATTATGTGTGCAACTTCTGATTGGCCACATCTCTCTATGTGTATTGTGTGTGCAACTTCTGAGTGTCCACATCTCTCTGTGGTGTATTGTGTGTGCAACTTCTGAGCATCAACATCTGTGTGTGTATTGTGTGTGCAACTCCTCAGTGACCACATCTCTCTGAGTGTATTGTGTGTGCAACTTCTGATTGTCCACATCTCTCTGTGTGTATTGTGTGTGCAACTCCTGTGTGTCCAACTCCTGTGTGTCCACATCTCTCTGTGTGTATTGTGTGTGCAACTACTGAGCATCAACATCTGTGTGTGTATTGTGTGTACAAATCCTGAGCATCAACATCTGTGTGTGTATTGTGTGTGCAATTCCTGTGTGTCTCTACATCTCTGTGTGTGTATTGTGTGTGCAACTCCTGAGTGTCCACATCTGTGTGTGTATTGTGTGTGCAACTTCTGAGTGTCCACATCTGTGTGTGTATTGTGTGTGCAACTCCTGTGTGTCTCTTCATCTCTCTGTGTGTATTGTGTGTGAAACTCCTGAGCATCAACATCTGTGTGTGTATTGTGTGTGCAACTCCTGTGTGTCCACATCTCTCTGTATGTATTGTGTGTGAAACTCCTGAGCATCAACATCTGTGTGTGTATTGTGTGTGCAACTCCTGTGTGTCTTTTCATCTGTGTGTGTATTGTGTGTGCAACTCCTGAGCATCAACATCTGTGTGTGTATTGTATGTGCAACTCCTGTGTGTCCACATCTGTGTGGGTATTGTGTGTTTAACTCCTGAGTGTCCACATCTGTGTGTGTATTGTGTGTGCAACTTCTGAGTGTCCACATCTGTGTGTGTATTGTGTGTGCAACTCCTGTGTGTCCACATCTCTCTGTATGTATTGTGTGTGCAACTCCTATGTGTCTCTTCATCTCTATGTGTGTATTGTGTGTGCAACTCCTGTGTGTCCACATCTGTGTGTGTATTGTGTGTGCAACTCCTGTGTGTCCACATCTCTCTGTATGTATTGTGTGTGCAACTCCTGTGTGTCCACATCTCTCTGTATGTATTGTGTGTGCAACTCCTGTGTGTCCACATCTCTCTGTATGTATAGTGTGTGCAACTCCTGTGTGTCTCTTCATCTCTCTGTATGTATTGTGTGTGCAACTCCTGTGTGTCTATTCATCTCTCTGTGTGTATTGTGTGCAACTCCTGTGTGTCTCTTCATCTCTCTGTGTGTATTGTGTGTGCAACTCCTGAGTGTCCACATCTCTATGTGTGTATTGTGTGTTTCAGCCCAGCAACCTGAGCACACTGACACTGACAGAGAGTGCCCTATCTCGCTACAACCAGAGCCAGGAGACCTGGAAGAGTGGCCCCTACCCTCAGTATGAGAGTGTCAACGGCCAGAACAGGTGAGTCACCAATGTATACATGGATCACTGGCGGAGAATAGTTGGTCTGTAAAAGTGGCCATCTATTAGGGCTGGGTCAGCTAACTGTGTTGGGTGGGTCCTGAGTATGACTCAGATACGCACAGGTCTACCCATGGCTTCTGACATTAAATGATGATACTGTATTACTCCATGGTTACACAAGGATTCGCCAAATGTTCGCATTTATTGCTGACTGTGCACGCCGTCCATCCGACTTTTGTTTGTTTGAGTAAAGATATAGATTCTGTCAACCTATGTGTAATAAAGCATGGTCAGATTGTTTTATGTGGGAATCTAAGCACCCAGGACCTACAGCAATAAAACGGGTTGTAAATTTGGGCTCCGCCCAGCCCTACCATCTATGGATCTCCCAGAGTAGATGACATCACCAGTTCTCTTGCCAGAGTAGGCGAGCCTTCAGAGTTGCCATCCTTTGAACTTCTATCGATATAGTTGATCTGTAAAAGTTGCCATCTATGGATCTCCTTGAAATAGATGCCAGAGTATATGAGCCATCAAGGTTGCCATCCATTCACATTGATCAGAATAGTTTATCTGTAGAAGTTGCCATCTATGGATCTCCTAGAGTATACATGCCATCACTTGTTCTCTTGCCTGAGGATATGAGCCATCAAGGTTGCCATCCATTCACATTGATCAGAATAGTTGATCTGTAAAAGTTGCCATCTATGGATCTCCTAGAGTATAGATGCCATCACTTGTTCCCTTACCTGAGGATATGAGCCATCAAGGTTGCCTGAGGATATGAGACATCAAGGTTGCCTGAGGATATGAGCCATCAAGGTTGCCATCCATTCACATTGATCAGAATAGTTGCATGTCATCATACACCAACTGCGCAGATTGATGCTCATAATATCAATCACTGGATTGTCTCAATTCCAGATAACATGTCCGGATTAGAATAGAGACACTCTCAGTGCTCATCGTCCCCCTTTAATAGCGCTGTTATTTCCACTCTGATGCAGACAGTTTTGATAAGTATTAAACACAGGTTGCTGAGGAACCATATTTAAGTAGCATTTAACTAGAAATGTAACTGCTTCAAACCGTTTTGTAAATTGTCATCATCACTAATGGGCACAATTTGCTTGAACATGACTCTTTAGCACTAATACATCTGATATCCTAAGACGATGCAGTATCAGTTGCAAGAATTAACAGTGCAAGCACGCATCCTACATAGCTCAGTGCTTTTTGACCAAATTGTACATGATTGTTAAAAGCTTGTATCCGACACGACCATTGTGAAACTTGTCTGGTGTGGGGAGAATGAAGGTTTTCCCTAAACCTGATTATCCATGTTGAAACTGGCCTTGATGCTTCAATCAGGTGTGTGTAATACACACAGCATACAGTCTGGCTGCCACTACTCCCAGCCTGCAGGGGGCGCCACAATCAATGACCTGCATTGGAAACCTTGTGGCGTACTACTCATTTTTGAAACTTGAATTTGTATCAAGATTGAAGAAAATGGCCAGTTTGTTAGGTTTAATACAGCTGAGTTGTGTTGTTTTCTTCTGCATGTTGTTGTGTATGGTGTTTGATTCAGTCGTCACAATGGCTGTGTCTGGAACAGGAGGTTTTTTGTTTTGCTTTGATTGATTTGTTGTTTAACACCACACTCAGCAATATTCCAGCTATATGACAGTGGTCTGTAAATAATCAAGTCTGGACCAGACAATCCAGTGATTGACATCATGAGCATCGATTCACACAATTGGGATGCGATGACATGCATCAACCAAGTCAGCGAGCCTGACTACCCCATCCTGTTAGTCACCTCCTACGACAAGCATAGTCGCCTTTTACGACAAGCATAGTCGCCTTTTACGGCAAGCATGGGTTGCTGAACACCTATTCTACCCAGGATCTTCAGAGGTTGAACAGGAGGTATTACTGGAGCTAGGAATTGGTGTATGTGTCCTTACATCGCTATTTTGTTGTGTAACATGTGGACTGTACTTGTTGTACAGGGCATCTAGAATGGGGATTCAGTGGTCACAATGTATGGTATAGTATGGGAGTTATAACTTGAGCTAGGACTGGGTTTATGTGCCCTTGCCACACAGGGTCACTCAAATGGGCATACGTTGGTAACAATGTCTAGACAATGCTTGCCACACAGGGTCACTCAAATGGGCATTAGTTGGTAACAATGTCTAGACAATGCTTGCCACACAGGGTCACTCAAATCGGCATTAGTTGGTAACAATGTCAAGACGATGCTTGCTTGCCACACAGGGTTACTCAAATGGATATTAGTTGGTAACAATGTCTAGACAATGCTTGCTTGCCACACAGGGTTACTCAAATGAATATTAGTTGGTAACAATGTCTAGACAATGCTTGCTTGCCACACAGGTTTACTCAAATGGATATTAGTTGGTAACAATGTCTAGACAATACTTGCCACACAGGGTCAATCAAATGGCCATAAGGTGGTTAAATCTAGACATTGGTCCTTCACCACACAGGGTCACACAAAATTTGCCCCGGTCCATATGATAACAGTAAAATGTACTAAAAATGGAGCTAAGAGCCAAGTTTGGACAAATAGCTCAAAAGGTTAGGCCCAGATTGGTCAAGCGGGGTCAACGCTGGGACCTGGGTAGAGTGTGATGCAGTTCCACATGGTTATAACATGAAGGTCTGTGTGATGTGGGAGGAAGGAAGTGATGTAGGTTTAGATGTTTCCCACTTTGGTGAAACCCACGAACATGGTGCTGACAAAGCCAGAAAGCGAATCTGTTATTTGATCATAGGTGTCTGGTGCATCAAAGGGATGCAACTCAGGAAAGCGAATTGAAGTGGTTCAGACAAATAGCGTTGAAAGTGGTGTACTCAATCATCCCTCACCTGTCTCAATACTCACCTTGGTACCGTGCGACCAATGCCCATTATATTTGTTTCCTTGATGAGTTGAGTTGATTATTTAGTGAATAGTGGTTCTATGTGAGTACCGAGATAAGGCCACATGGTATTTGGATAAACCTAATCGATTGGATTGATTGCTGAACACACAGATGAATCAGAGACTTCATTGGATTTATCCCACAGGCTTTTGTCCATTTTTTTTGTTTTGTTTTCCTTAGGGAATTTGTCCTCAGGGTTTGTCTGTCCCGAATTCTTACAACATATATGGATTCAAAATAGTGCTGACAGAGCCTGTGTGTGCTAATACGCCTGTCAGACAGTGGCTAGCCAAACAACACTTGTCCATGATGTAGAATCAATGATGTATTGCTGTCATAACTTTGTAGCTAAATTGATAATATGTGTTGTACAGGGCTAAATCAACAACACTGGGCAAGGCCTAACAACACTTGCGGCATAGGTTTTGTTGTGGATCAGATTTACAGTGTGAATAGGACATGGCTTTTATTTCGTTTATATTGCCAGGTGCCTGATATCTGCAAGTATCTTATTATAGGCTACAGAACTCTTCTGCAGAAATGTGCCCTCACCTCTTTACCGAAACAGGACATGTTAATGTTACAACTAGGGATTTAAGGATGTATTAATCCATTTTGAACTTGCAAATAATTTTGGCTAATACAATTTAAAATCTGAAAGTGGCTTTCACAGCAGTTTGGGTGAGATCAAGTGATGTCTCCCAGAAAATATTGATGCCATGAAACTGCATCACAATGCTTTGCAAATTATTGTGACTTCATCGGCTAGGGGCGGTCGTGTAGCCGAGTGGTTAAAGCGTTCGCTCGTCACGCCGAAGATCCGGGTTCGATTCCCGACATGGGTACAATGTGTGAAGCCCATTTCTGGTGTCCCCCGCCATGATATTGCTGGAATATTGCCAAAAGCGGTGTAAAACCATACTCACTTCATCGGCTAGGATGTCGTTTCAATCAAATGACATAACGGATCTCTGCCACTGAAGCTGGTCAACTGTTCTTTTCACTGAAGACACTGGTTCTTACTGTTTAATAACTTGATTGAGGTGAGTGAGTGAGTAAGGTTTTATGCCGCTTTTAGCAATATTCCAGCAGTATCATGGCGGGGAACACCAGAAATGGGCTTCACACATTACCCACGTAGGGAATCGAACCCTGGTCTTTGGTATGACGAGCGAATGCTTTAACCACTAGACTATCCGACGGACCCCTTGGTTGAGGTGATTAAGTTAGACCAGGTGGTCAAGTGACTTGATTGGACCAGGTGGTAAGGCTAGGTGACTTGGTTGGATCAGGTAGTCAGGCTAAGTGACTTGGTTGGATCAGGTAGTCAGGCTGAGTGACTTGGTTGGATCAGGTAGTCAGGCTAAGTGACTTGGTTGGACCAGGTAGTCAGGCTAAGTGACTTGGTTGGACCAGGTAGTCAGGCTAGGTGACTTGGTTGGATAATGTGGTCAGGCTAAGTGACTTGGTTGGATAATGTGGTCAGGCTAAGTGACTTGGTTGGATCAGGTGGTCAGGCTAAGTGACTTGGTTGGATAATGTGGTCAGGCTAAGTGACTTGGTTGGACCAAGTGGTCAGGCTAAGTGACTTGGTTGGATAATGTGGTCAGGCTAAGTGACTTGGTTGGACCAGGTGGTCAGGCTAAGTGACTTGGTTGGATAATGTGGTCAGGCTAAGTGACTTGGTTGGATAATGTGGTCAGGCTAAGTGACTTGGTTGGATCAGGTGGTCAGGCTAAGTGACTTGGTTGGATAATGTGGTCAGGCTAAGTGACTTGGTTGGACCAAGTGGTCAGGCTAAGTGACTTGGTTGGATAATGTGGTCAGGCTAAGTGACTTGGTTGGACCAGGTGGTCAGGCTAAGTGACTTGGTTGGATAATGTGGTCAGGCTAAGTGACTTGGTTGGATAATGTGGTCAGGCGAAGTGACTTGGTTGGATAATGTGGTCAGGCTAGGTGACTTGGTTGGACCAGGTGGTCAGGCTAAGTGACTTGGTTGGATAATGTGGTCAGGCTAAGTGACTTGGTTGGATCAGGTGGTCA